ATCATGGCTCTGGCCTCATTTTTCACACCACAGAAATGAAATTTACACCTTTGTGATCCGCATCCTGTCCTCTCGCTCACGGTGTGCTTTTTGTAGCTGTAGCACTTACGGTTTTTCATTAAACAGTTGGAGTTTGAGAGGAACTTTTGGCTCAGTTTCTGCCTTTTCTTGGTGTATTTAAATTTGACTGTGCCATTGCCAACTGGTGATTGGCTGAATCAACTCCAGCCGTTCGGCCAATCGTCTGTGTGTCACAGCACAGTCAAATTTGAATATTTCAGCAACCTGACTTCTTTGCAGTTAAAGCCTCATCATACAGAGGTAATTACATATGTGTCAGTCTGCCTGTCTGGGTCTGTCTGTCTCTGTCTTTCTGTGTCCATCTTGGACATTTTAGACTGCAGTCTTTTTTAGCTGTTAAGTTAAGCTGTTTTTTCTATCTGTAAGTGGACATACACACAGACAGACAAACAGACTCACACATACACAAACGCGCGACAGCACGTGAACATACACACATTCAGGCATGCACACACACACAGACACACAGTGATACATTTACTGCTATTAATAATTAGCGTATTGCTATGGGGATACTAGTTGGCAGCGAGCATCAGGCACACTCAAAATTTCATGTGAAATTTTCTAGTTCATTCATTCACTCATTCATTCATTCTTGAAAATGAAAATTTCATTCATGAAAATTTCAAATGCTCTGCAGAGATCAGATGAAGGCCACAGGATTTGTTTAAAGCCAATTTCCCAATTGCATATTTGAACCTAGCAACAGCTTTCTTTTTAATTTCACTCTCAGGTCCATGCCTTGATTTACCAGCGATAACCCAATTTTTAAAAGCTTCTCTGGCTTGCTGGTGGAGTTCATCCACATACTCATTCCAGCCTGGCCTGAAGCTGTACTTCTTTGCTTTTCTCTGAATGAGTGGTTTACTAGCCTCATTCAGACCCTGCACAATTCTGTCATATAGTACACATAGCTCTTCTTTGTGATTTGGCATACCACAGTTGAAATTATCACACATTATAGCATCATATGGAATTTCAATGTTACCTATGGTCTTCTCAGTCAAGTCATGATAATGTAGCAGGTCGTTCTCTGAGAGTTTAGCCCACTCAATTTTCCCACCATGATTAACCTGATTATCATCCGTGGTCATTGTAGGTAGGTTTTCTACATTGAGCATAATGGAGACAGGCATGTGGTCCATTGTTGCAAACCCATACAAAATCTCAACTTTATCCACACATTCATGGGCATCAGCTGTGCTTACACAATGATCTAGCCAGGATGTTGTATTCCAAGCCTCACTGACATATGTATAGCTATCTGTTGGCAAATGGATCTTACTTGTTAACAAGAGCTTATTATCATGACAAAATTCAACTAGGTATCGGCCAAACACAGACTTCCTATCAGAGATATCTGCATTCAAATCACCCATTACATAAATACGGGTACATTCATTTTCCTCAATAAAAGAGCCAATAAAAGCAAGCTTTTGAAGATATTCGTCCTCGTTACTGGAACATTCATAAGGTGTGTAAACATTCAAAATGATAAGAACATTACCATTATAAGAAACTTTTATTGCAACACACCAGTCTACTCTCAATCTAATCACACTGATCAGAGGGTCATATTTTTTATGCCACATAATGGCCACACCTCCAGGTATTCTGCCTTGAACCAACCCCAAGCTCAAATCTGTGGTTGACTCCCCCACCCCATGGAAGTTACTATGAACAGAGTTAAGCTTGTCCAGGTCCTGTTTAGCAAGAAAAGTTTCTTGTAGACAAAGAATGTCAGTTTCCTCAAGGAGTTTGTCAACAACAAGTCGCCGTGCCTTATCCGCTGCATTGTGTCCTAGACGCAGGCCGCGTGTGTTATATGACACAATTCTCATGAGAAGTAGACAAATCTTATGCATGTCACCCAAGTAAGCAGCGATGGACGAAATGATTACTGCATGTCATTTACCCAAGCTTTCTCTTTACATCATGTTTCTCTCCACTCTCCTTTCTGCTTACATGTATAACTCCTTGTATGTTCACACAGTTGATCCTGGGTTCCAACTCCAATGTAGTTACTCAGTCTTGTTAATCATTAATGATATGGTGCAGATTTTAAGTTTAATACTATTATGGCCAGGACAGTCTGACAGACTGACAAACAGACATTGCAGGTCTCTCTCACTCTGTGAGTTTTGCTAATATTTGATGACTTCCCATCCTACAACATAAGTGAAACAAACATGATGTCAGGACATTTTTTACCCTTGAAGAGGGCGGCACATGTAGGCCTATTTTAGATTTAGTAAAATGCCACAGATTAGCCTATGTTTTTGGAACTTCACCTGGTTGAACAATATGGTAAATAGGCCTACTATCATTTTGATTTCATTTGATTTGGAAACATAAAACATTACATAACATTTTTATAGACTAGTGGTTGTTCAGGTGGGGTTAAGAAAGATAAACACAAAAAGCAATGTTGTAGGAATTGAGCAGAGAGAAAACAATGACATAGAGTACTGGGCCTATCCTATTTGTACCTAGCTAATGCATCTGGGTCTCGTTTCAATTTGGTTTTTCCGTAATTTGGTTTTGAAAGAGAAAACGGGAAAACGGAAGCACTTCCGTTATTTCGTTTTGTGTCTCAAAACGGAATAACGGGAAAACGGCCGTATTTCCGTAAATCCGTTTTATTTTGAAAACAAAATATCAAACTATCAAAAGGTACACGGACCCTCACTACCACATAATACCACTTCATGCAAATGAAGCTATTATGTCATGTTTGAATAAAAAAGCCTGCATGTGCACATGTTGCTATAGTTATGTGACTTTTGAGGTCACGTGAATATATTTAGAATGGTTTGATAATTTGCCACTTAGACCATGGGGAGGAGACCAGCTGAGTAAACTGATCTGTGGATGAGAAACTTGCAACTGAAGAAGTTACCCCCACCCCCCGGCCTAGACACTGGGGAAGGTAGGGAATCTTGAGGTCACCGGATGAGGGAACTTCTGGGTTGAAGATCCAGATTAAGACAGTCTGTATCTTGATGGAGGTGGTGCAGGGGTGGAGGTGGGCTGGGAGTTTTGCTGAAATGACAGCTGGATGACAGCAGAGAGAGAAATTTGACAGCTAATGACGGATTGGTAGAGAACAGGGAGAGGCTGGCAGACTGTGACTTGTTGAAATATGTGAAGAAGGGTGGAGCAAGAGGATAGTGGGAAAACAGAGAAGTGGCTTTGAGGTATACTTAAGGTAAACATTAAAATACCTATTGAAACTTTGAAATACGCATCAATAGGTAAAATTTCAATTTATGTTTTGATGTTCAAATGGAGTCTCTATGTGAAAGTATACCACAAATGTTATTAGCATGTAGGCTAGCTGAAAACCCGATTTCAAGAAATGTGTGACTTGGAAAGAGTATGTATTGCTTGGAGCTTTCAGGGACAGAGTGGGGAACGTCTTGCACTACGGCAGATGAGGGTCACGGTGGGTGGTGAGGGTCACGGTGGCTGGTTTGGGGCGGAACAGGTTAGAACCCGCAGATTGCCGCTCGCGGCTATATTTATTTTTAAAATTGTGGTAAGCCAGTGGGCGAATCATGGGTTAATGATGGGATAATTTGCTTTACTCTGCCTCTGATTGGTTTAGACAGACGTTATTACCTAATTTAACCAATCCACTATCACAAAAGGTAGCAAGTACTAGCCAATCATAGGGAGAAGTGGGCGGGTCAGTCCTTTGTCCTTCTCGGCTCTGTAATTGCACACCTGCATTGTGAGTTTCTTCGGACAGGGAATGGTAAGTAGGCCTAAGGTGTGTACCTATATTGATTGTACATGGATTTTTATCAAGTTTTTGGGTTGTTCTTAGTTTTCAGAATGATATAGGGTTATGTTTTACACTGTGTGTGACTGCCAGTCATGGAAACTTGTTATTACTGGTTTTATTTAAAACTTTGATGTTACCCAGCTAATCTTGCACTGTCATTCTTTTATTTGATTAAAATGTAGTTTGTACATAGCTGTCAAGTCTCCCGTTTTGGCCGGGAACCTACCGTATTTCACCCCTCTTTCCCGCTGTCCTCCCGTATTAGTATTTTCCCGTAAATCTCCCGTATTATAATAACATAATAACCCTGTATTATAACGTAGGAATGTNGTATTTTCCCGTAAATCTCCCGTATTATAATAACATAATAACCCTGTATTATAACGTAGGAATGTTCACAGCATTTCAGTGTCAACAAAGGTAGGCATATCAGATTCTGATCACCTAATTGTAGTTAGTAAGTGGTTGACAAGTGGTTATTCTAGATTTCCTGTACACCTGTCTTAAAATGTAAGGAATACTGGAGCTTGGTTGGGGTGGTGGGACGGCTCGTGGCAGGCGCCGGAAAATTTCCCTTATTTTCAAATCCAAAACTTGACAGGTATGAGTTTGTAGATGCAAACTGCTAGCATTTGTTATTTTTTTGAGTGCAGTGTGTGGATTTGTTTTGCATGTGTTTTGTGTTAATAGTGCAATTATTGTGTGTGATTGATTTATTTAGTACTGTGTTTTGTTGTTCATCAGACAATGGCATCTTTCAGCTCACCTAGCAAATTTGCGAAGGATGAGGAGTTGGAGGGGCTGAGGCAGAGTGCTCAGCTGTTGGCTCTAAGTATTACAGTAAATGTGTTGGAGTTTGTGTTGTAGGATGACCTTCATTCATTCATTCATCTTCTAACCGCTTCATCCTCTTGAGGGTCGGCGGGGGGGCTGGAGCCTATCCCAGCTGACAATGGGCGAGAGGCAGGGTACACCCTGGACAGGTCGCCAGACTATCGCTGACACATAGAGACAAACAACCATTCACGCTCTCATTCACACCTATGGACAATTTAGAGTTAACCTTAACCTTAACCTTAATTAACCTAGTCCCCAATCTGCGTGTCTTTGGACTGTGGGAGGAAGCCGGAGTGCCCACGCTGACACGGGGAGAACATGCAAACTCCGCACAGAAGGGCTCCCACGCCCGGGATCGAACCGGCAACCCTCTTGCTGTGAGGCGGGAGTGCTAACCACCACACCACCGTGCCGCGCATTTAATCATATAAGCACTAATTCCTCTACAAATATTAAATGTTATAACTACCCTAAATATTACCAAAATACTAGGCATATAGCTGACAAAGGTGATGATTATCTATCCACAAAACAAACAAATGCTGTCATGTCACATATTAAGTATTTATACAGTATACTTTCAGAAAAACACACCTGCATTTCTGTGTTGCATGAATCAAATATTAATTTCAATTAATGGAAATGTGTCAAATTTGCCTCTTGCTACTGTTACATGAAAAATCTGAGGAAATGGACATCAACGCTGTTGACACATTAGGCGATTATTAAACATAACAAATGGAGTTCATGTTGTAGACTTTTTTTTGATTTTCTGTTGATGCTAGATGGTAAGAGAGCCAGCTTAAGGGAAATGAAATGATGCCAACATTTCAAATATTTTTCTCAGAACTCATAAGTATGTATTGAAATCAAGGTTTTGACACAGGAAATATTAACATTATGATTTAAAAAGTTGTAAAACTACAGGGTTTGCCATTGTCTGTTTGAAATGAATGCACTCTGCAGAGGTGGAATGTAACGAGGTGGTTGTCCTTGACAATGTCTGATTTTATTACATCTTAATGAATGTGTGACAGTGTTGACAAAAATGGGGACACAATTTTAAAACGTTATGAAACATGTATGTGTCATTGAAAAACAATTTTGCTCTGATCTGGGACATTAGTAAGTGTGCTTCTGATGAAACAGGCTGTTATTTTTTTTCTCCAGCTTTTAAAATGCACTCTTATATATAAATAAATGTATAGATATGTGTTTTTGTCCATTTGTCATGATTCATTTGTGTAAGTGCTCAGTCATGTTTTTCTGTCATGTTTTGTTTTGTTTTTGCAGTACGCATGTGGTGATCTGGCGGTGCCGTGGCAGCAGCTCTATGAGCAGTGCTGCCAAACAACCGGTGAGCTGCTACAGGTCCTGGTGCGCCATGTAAGGCGCAGCAGGGCCTCACAGCAGCAGCACCAACTCCTGCAGCAGTCAATACGGCGTCTATGTATATGCAGAGGGAAGGGAGAGGGATCTCCGCCAGCAGGTGAAGGACCTCAACCAGCAGGTGGAGATCCTTCAGGGGCTGGCCTCTTTTGAAGTGGATGCTAAGTGTTTGTGCTCAGTTTTGTTTTGCATGTTACCTAAGACATGACTGTGTTGGTGTGGTTGTGTGATAATATTACAGCATTAATGTGATTTGGTTTTTGTCTGAACCCCAGGAAGAAGAGGCTAGCGTTAAAACTGTGAGTGAGTGAGTGAGTGGTTTAGTTATACAGTTGGTCGTTTGGAGTTTTCCCCTTGTGTGTTATTTGTTCAATAAGAATTTAATATTAAAACATTAAGCAGTCTTCAGTAATTTTACTCCAAAGTATAGGTTAAATATAACAGCACACTAAGAGCAAATATTATTTGGACCTTCACAGAAAAGTAAAAAAGATGAACATTTGAAATCCAGGAATTCACCTTATAGACAACTATGTCTTTAACAATGTCGCAACAATGTAGTACTGAGTGTTTATTTTTTCTCTCCATGCAGATGAAGATATTGGTGCAGCTGACACTGAGCCAGGGGTCAAGCCGGAAGAGGGGATTGTAGATGAGAAATAAAACAAAAAAATAAAAAATAATTTCTTTGTTAAAGTGTTTTATGTGGTTGTTATTCACTAAATGTATTCAGCAATTTCTTGGTGAAATGTGTCCATACGTAGATAGAAATTACAGAAAGCACATAGATTCTACAATCTGCCAGTAATATAACACAGACAATCACTACAGGAAGCTGTGTACCCATTTAGCCTGTACATTATGGGATTCTACCATTTTGCATATAAAAACAATCAAAATTATAATTTGGTTTCCAAACGGACTAGGTTTATACAATGGCACTTTGTAAACTGCAGTTCCATCAAATGGCCAGTAAGTGGCACTAAAAATGAAACAGACTTGAGACAGTCACTGCAGTTTTACCCTGTTTTAATTAAAGATTTGTATAAATTGATTCAACCTTTTCAAAGCTAAGCTTATTTATAGGCCTCTGCTTGAAAATTGCATACCCATAATGAAATGAATATATCTCTGCAACCACAATGTCTATTTGAATACTTTGATCCCTCATGGTAAAGGGAACACTTGTGAGATTTGTTAAGATGTGTAAATATCAGTATATGTGTTAAGAGTAAATGAAGATGGCAGACAGCACAGCAGTGTTTGGGGCATGGGGGAGTTTCGGACTTAAGAGGTCTTAAAATAAACATGAAAAGGTTGATTTGGGGAATTAATTGGTTATTAGGGTAGTAAAACATAACTACTCTGTTTGGTATGGTAGTGAGGTATCTTGCCACTGCAGAAATATTGTACAAACTTCACAAGTGTTTTATGAATCCAGTATGGCAACAAGTCATTGTCATCTGGCAATAAATAAAAGAAACAGCATGCAATATGATCATTGATAAACAGATATAAAACCTTTCAGTCAACATTATAAGTGCTATTGAAAAGTTAAAAAGTTAATAATATACAGTCCAGGGTAAAAAGTCACTAATTAAATGGCACACTGATACACTGTATAGATTGTTAAAGCTATAAACTATGTCATTAGATATCAAGTTTTTGTATTTTATAATTGTTTGTCTAAAATCAGTTTTATTGTTAGTTTTTAATATATCAAATAATGTTAAGTGTACCATTGATTTACAATTTAAACACCATGTAAATGTATTATTCTGTATTTTAAAACCGTATGCAAACCATGTTTGATGGCAGCCACAACACTACATGCTGTCAAAGAATTCACGTCATGAGTCAACTGTGCCACTCTAACATCAGTTCCAGCAACAGTGGATGGCGGCATCTTTTCCGAACACCTGCAAGGAAGAGGATTAGCAACGGTCTGACCTTTGGTGGATAGTGGCGTGCGCTGCATCTGTAGGCTCTTCTCCCTCACAGCCACTGGAACAGGACTGGTAGGTGACGGCTCGGAAGTCACCTCCACAGCACCCAGGGTCAGGGTCGCCTCCGCCTAGAACAACAAAACACATTAAAAACAATAAATGAATTGCATAAACAAAATGCTGCTTTACAAATCTCCTCTGGGAGCCATGAAGAGTAAGAAACTTCCACATGTAGCTTTTAATGCAAGAAAAACAACATATTTTACTTTTCTTTAATATTTGGCATTTAGCTTTTCATGGACAATATAAGTAGTCTTAGCTTTTATTAATTAAGAGGGCTTTTACAATAAAAGGGAAAAATACAAGCATGAATTACATTGAAGTGTTGTAGTTTATACCATATCAAATATTACAATAAAATAGCTTTGCTGACTCCATTCAAAAAACCATCATTCACAGTAAGTGCACCAACCAGCTCTGGCTGGTGGGGCAGCACGGGCATACGGGATAGGACGGGCAGGACCAGCGGGCGGCACAGGGCTGGTAGGTGTAGCCTGGGAAGACACCTCAACAACGCTCGATGCTGCCTCCACCTAGAAAAAAAAAACACAAAAACTAAATTAATTGCATAAACAAAATACTGCGTTTGCAAGTCTCTCATGGGAGCAAACAGCTCCCTGCTGATTGTCCATACATGGCTCATAATGTAAAAATTCCCCCCAAAAAACCACAACTGTCTGTAACCAAATTTGAACCATTTCGGACAATACAAGCAGTAATATTGTATTTTGTGTATGTTATTAATGTAGACCCAGCTGGATATAATTTACATATTGATACACAATTATTGCTTCTGTGTGTATTATACTGTTTGTTTGTACTTTGTTAATTTTATTTACACAGATATACACTACATAAAGTTAAAATGAAATTAGTTCTTATTTCAATCTGTACATTTGATGAAACCTACAGGCTACCAATAAAAAGTATCTCTTGATGATTGTAAATACTATTGTTTGTGTTGTTTTTAAACTATAATTCATACTGCAATAGGTATGCATGCTTTAATCAAAAAATATTAGACATTTTACACAAACTGCACATACCTCCTCCACCACAGCCCCGCGTGTAGGACTGGTCGCTGAAGCCTCGGTGGACAAAGCCGCAACTCTTGGCTTTGCTGCTACCTAGTAAAAAAACAAAACAAAACAGTAAAATGAAATTGATAAATGTACTTTATCATTGCATCATAATTGACTGAATACACCAAACATGCAACAATTTGGTTGCTACCCATCTACTCCCCAGACAGTTTCAAATTACTCAAATATTACATTGAAATTTATGACCAACCTGCTGCCTAGCAGGTCTCCTCTTTGAGGCCACAGCTGTCTGCCGTTGTTCCACAACTGGCACCTAATATAAGAAAAACAATATAAAGTTTTTGAAGACATATTTGGGGCATAGGTCCTTATGTACAGTATAGGCAGTCTCCTCCTTGCTGCCTGAGAACGGCGGAAGGACTTGACACGAGGCATCTGAAATTATATAAACACGACTGATTAATGGTGACATCACAAGACATTTTAGCCCACAATAAGTGTACTTTTTTTTTTTTTTAAATACAACTATAACTATGGAAACAGTGATCAATGTATTCAGATCCTTTACTTACTGCTGTCTCTAGGAGGTGTGCTGACTGCCATTTACATTGACTATGCATAAATACCTCATACACCCACACTTTAAAAAAATTCATACTCTGTTTAAGTAAACCTACTAATACCACACAATGAAAATATTCTACTACAGGTAAAACTCACATTTAAAGATACATGACTGTCAAAAGAAGGGAATGTATTGTTTAAAAAAGGAATCTGGAATGCTTTTCATTATGAAAATAGACAGTCTCACATTCAAAACACACAACACTGTTACACCGCTTTTCTTTAATTATGAAACAGACAGATACAACCTTCGTCATAACTCCCTCTGTTTCACCAAATTTAGACCAAGAGACTTAACCTTAACTATTAGTTGCCTCCTTAACACAATAAAACACACGCAATTTAAAATCAACAAACGTCACCACAACAGTATTAGGTAGTTTTCCCACTGTCCCAACAATCACCAGTTCTGTTTTGGTTGAAATTCATCTACAATTCACAGGGTTAAATGTGTGTCACTGGCCAAAAGTCCATTCCAAAAACAGTAATTTTCCATCAAAAAGCATTTTACAACACACTTCATTCAAACTGCACAATAACCAAATGAATACAACAAACATTTGTGTTAGCTTTTCATTGCTCTTTAACTTTAATAAAACACAGTGATATGAACCTAACAGTCAGCGTCACCACAAAACAAAAAAGGCGGACAGTGGTCTCCGTGCGATTTTCAAATGATGCATTTCAAACCGCTTTGCGCTATTCTGCTATGTTATAAACATGTGAATGCATAAAGATAGACAGCTAACAGTCAAGCCTATACAGATATAACATTAACACTTTGATATAATTGATTGGTGCACTTTCCTCATAGACAACGGTTAGTTGCCTCCTAAACACAATAAAACACACTTAAAGTTAATACAAAATCAATAAACAAATAAAAATCACCACAACAGTGTTTGCTAGTTTCTCCACTGTTCCAACGATCACCAGGTCTGTTGTGGTCAAAATTGAACCATTAGTTAATAAATGGAGTCAAATGTGCGGAAAAAACTGCTGTCTCTGCACCACAGTCCATTCACTGAACCAGTAGGTTTTTTCTCATAAAGCATTTTACAACACACTTCATTCAAACTGCACAATAACCGAATGAATACAACAACAAACGTTTGTGAAGGCTTTTCATTTCTCTTTTACTTTAATAAAACAAACTTACACGACCCTAACAGTCAGCTTCACCACAAAACAAAACCGGCAGACATCTGCCGTGCGATTTTCAAATGATGCCAAACCGCTCTGCTGTGGGACAGTCTGTCCACCATTATAAACATATTTCCCAGCAGGCACAATACGTCAATATGATGTTAGGATAACATTGTACTCCGACGTTGGATGACCATTGTGATTTAGTTGAAAATGAAAGTTTGACTGACGTAATAACCTAACGTTGGTTTGACATCATAACATAACGTTGGTTTGACGTTTACCTCTGATGTTATGCAAACGTTGAATATATGTTCGACTTCCAACGTTGGATACCAGTTGTCCACTCTGTTTTCGTGGGGGTGAGCTGATCCAAGCAGGAGGAGAGTGTTGTAGTTTACCAGGTCAGCAGGGTCATCAGACGGCGGGGGAGGTGAGGCAGACAGACAATGGGTGAGTGAGGCTGAGAGAGCTGAGGGAGAGAGGGATTTAAGATTTCTGAAAGTTATGGTCCGGTTGTGTTTTGTGGTGGGGATAGGGATGTCTACATCCATTGTGATAGCCAGGTGGTCAGAGATGTGTAGATTGTGGCTGGATAACAGGTGAATGTTGAGATGAGTGGAGCAGACCAAGTCCAGAATGTGACCACGGTTGTGTGTTGGGAAGTTAATGTGTTGGGTGAAGTTGAGACATTGTAGCAGTTCCAGAAATTCTGTGGCAGGTTTATTGTCTGTACTGTCAATGTGTAGATTGAAGTCACCCAGGAGGAGAACAGATGGTGAGATGGCAGATAACTGGGTCAAAAAGTCAGCAAGATCAGAGAGGAAGGAGTGATGTGGCTTGGGGGGGGCGATAAATGATGGCTGTGACCAGAGGACAG